CGCGCGCGCGCGCGCACACACACTTCATGTGTTCATGGGAACCACCCCCCAAAAAGCATGACTGTGCCAGACTGTTTCGTTGGACTTTCACCAAATCATCAGGAGGCTGAACCCCAACAGTCTGCCCACAATACATCTGCATGCGTGTGGGTGTGTGCATGCATGTGCGTGTGCTTGTGTGTGCTTGTACGGCGCACGGAGGGCCATGAGTGCGTGTTGTCCAGTTCATCGCGTGCATGTGTGCGTGCGTGTGGGTGTGTGCATGCATGTGCATGTGTGTTTGTGCGTGTGCTTGTGCAAACGGGCGGGGCCATGAGTGCATTTTGTCAGGTTCCCTATAGACCACATCACTGCGCAGCCAAAGATAGAGCATCCGCTGCGGCATAATACACCACGTCGCTGTGCCGCCAAAGATGGGGCGAGACGATCCAGGCCGCCCGTGGTCCTACCCGGTCCATGGCTAGGATCGTCCCACGATCTTAAAGACATCGCCCAAAAATCTGGACCGTCAGGCCGGTAGTACCGCCCCAGGTGGCCCGGATCTGCCAATTCTCACGTTACCAATTTCTATGAGTGTGGGGATCACGTCAAGATGGAGATTTCATGAAAGCAGACAAACAACAATGCCAAGCAACTGGCAGGAGCAAAGGAAGTAGCTCTGCTGCTTACCCTAGCTGTGACAGAGACTTGTTGATATTCGCTGCCTCCTTCAGCCTTTCGCCCTCTGCACCTGAGCTCTTCTGCCTGCTCAACCATTCAGCAACACACCGAGATACGCAACCCACCATGAGTGCACACATTAAGAAATGTCTTCATCACAAACCTAAAAATCTTAGCATTATTACCAAATATTGCCTTGACGATTGACGAGAACCAAGCTCGCCTCTCTCTCTCTCTCTCTCTCTCTCTCTCTTTCTCCTGTCTCTTATACACATCTAGATGTGTATAAGAGACAGATATCAGAGTCTGCATCCCTCCGAAGGGGAGGTACAGGTTGCTTGGAGGCCGCGCGGCCTAGGAAGTCACTCGCCAAGAGGCAAGCAGGCCGCTATATCTCCAGGAGGAGCAAGGTGCTCCTCATTGTCGG